TTTAGGGGGAAATGAATGGCATGGAGCTGAATGTTAACTATTCCATTTTATTCCTTTACACATGTGGTTTGGCATATTATTCAGTAAGTTTTTTTCTTTCTATTTTTTTTTTTTTTTTAGAAGGATCCTTGATTGGTGGGGGGAGTATAAAGAGGGGTGGAAGATGCAATTAGATCTGGGTGTTTGTTCCTTTCTCTTTCCCGCACACGCACATGCACACGCATCCACACACACGAAGTGACAAAGTGGTTAATGTCTTTGCAGGTTGGTGTTGACATCAGGTATCTTATTGCCACAGTCCAAATAGAGTACTAATTACTGCGAATGATGTCACCGTAGGCAGAGGAATAATCCCATCATTTAATTAGTTGAATGATTTAAACAAAGATTTGCATAGATGCACTAATCAGTTGCCATGAATTACAGAGCAGCAGTTGCCAGCGAGGGGTAACAGATCATACAGTTGGAGGGAAAAAAAATCTCATCTCCTTGAACATAATTAATTTAATTGTCCTCATTAGCTGTACCATTTGTTTTGATTTTATTTCTCCCTTTCCCCACACATAACTTCTCCCTCCCTCTTTTCTTCCCCTTCTCTGAGTACATTGGTTGAGAGAGGCACACGCACACACACACTGCTGTATTTTCAGAGTGGTTGTGGCAGAGGTAGTCTACAAACAGAGGGAAGTGAGGATCTCCTGAGTGTATGGGTACAGGCAGGAGGGAAGCAGGTTTCTGACAAGTTTTGCTTTTCTCCATGTGCAGATCAAATCAGCAGCAAGGGGCTCTGTTAGTCTGCTACCTCTGATTGTGCTTTTCGGGTTCTTGCTCAGGTTGGTTGTGGCTGAGTTTTGTTACTACTTTGAGGGAGAGGGGGGCAAATCAAGAATTGTGTCACTGCACAGTGTGCTCGTTCCGGGAATCTTAATAATATATATATGTAAAAATGTAGAGGAGCTTAGTTTGAGGTGGGGAAGGGGGTAACCTGTCCTAAAGAGATGCATTTCTGAGGTTGCTTTGATTTTTAGTAAAAAGACCGGATTACGCGAGGGAGGGGTGCAGATGGCAAAGCACTTCAATGCTTTTAAATCTTTCTTGGGTCTTGAAAGACTTCTATAATATGAATGTCATTCAAATTTAGGGTATATTGTAAGCTGACATCTTTCAAAGCTTTGTGGAAATCTAGCGTGGTGCTTCTAATAGCAGACAACAGATATTCACTTTGAAGTCTGAAAACTCTGTTCACAAATTCTTAATCTGGTCTTTCTCCAACTGCAGATGGCTCTGAGAGGAAGATGCTTTGGATTTTTTTAACTTTATTTACAGTAGGCTAGGCTCAACATCTTTATTATAAAACATGAAGAAACAATCATCTGCGAGCGTGACTCAATATCAAAGCATGCCTATCTCTTCTGTGTTTGCACGTCTGTCTGTCTGTCTCTTGGTCAAAGCTCTTCAACACCTACAGCACATCCGCGTCTATTATTTTTCCCCCTCCACCACTAGGTAAAGAACAAGGCTCTGTCCTCAGCTTTTGGGGTGAGGATCCCGCAGGGGGAAACCAGCTTGCCTGCCTTCAGCTCAGAAAGTGTGGGCAGGGAGGTGGCATGGGTGAGCGATGCCCAGCACGTGTCCGGGCCAGGGGCAATGGGAGTGGGGAGCCCGCGGGGAGCAGCAAACTTTGACGCAGGAGTTTGCACTCCTCTCTGAGCAGCCCACATCCAGCACTATGAGAGGATGCGTTTTCACCTTCAGGGTTTTTTTTCTCATTACTCATTAATAGAGAGATGCGTATCTTGCCTTTTTTATTATTATTATTATTATTTTTTTCTTTTCCTTTTGCGTAGGCAACTTATTGTTTTGTTTAGGCAAAGTATTTGGGGCGGAGTGATGCGGGGGCACGCTCCCTGCTTCCCCGGCTCTGTTTCTGGAGCGCTCCCTGGGAAGGTGATCCTGAGCCGCTTCGGTAGAGGTCACTTGTGTGTGTGCGTGTGTGTGTGTCCCTGGTGTTTGTGTCTAGCATATGCATGTGGTTTTGCTGACTGCACTTGCAGGCTTGTAAATTTTCACCATGGGAAATTACCAACAAAGCCCAATCTGTCTCCTGGCTGCTTTGCACTTTCTGAGGGCGGCTGTACTTGAGCGAGCTGCAGAACGAGAGAGAAAGAGAGAGGGAGAGAAAGGGGGAGCGGGGAGGGGGGAGAGAGGAAGGGTGGGTGGGTGGAGGGGGAGAGAGGTAAATAGCCTTAAATCGGAAGGGAGCTGCTTCTCTGTGGTCTTCCACAAGAGCTGCCTGGGCTCTGCTGGCTCAGTAATAACTGAGTGACCTTTTCTTTTGCTGTATTATGTCTGGCTGGTAAGGGATTGCATTTTGCAGCTGATAAAGCCCTGACTTCATTCAACTCGGCTCCTCACACGCTGCTTTAGGTAAGTTGTCTTCAGCCAGGACGGAGACAGACAGCCTTGGACTGCAAGATACTAAAAGGAGGACACCTGTAGCTCGGATGCGGTCAACACAATTACTTGGCGGATCCTTGAGGACCTCATTATTTTAAACTTAAAGAATAGCGATCTCCCCCCCCATCTCTCCCACCCCCCCTTTATTTTTTTTCCCCAAACAATGCTTCTTTTTGACCTTTCCCAAGGAGAAGAGCTACAAAGCAGCCACTGTGCTTATTGAACTGCCTCCCCTCTATCGCTTAATTGAGAAGGTAAGTGAGGCAACTGTGTACATAAGCTTTGGGTCATTTGTGTATGTGTGTCTGCATCACTCTCTCTCTCTCCCTCTCCCTCTCTCTCTCTCTCTCTGAGTCATAAGCCGGGGCTGCAATCCATACACACATCCCTGCACTGCAACTTTCGCTCGAGCTGCAGCTCTGCTGAGACTGTTTTGTTTAAATCATGTGAGGCTTCATTATTTTTATGATGAGACATGAAATACATGCAAGCGGAGGATGCTGAGCGAAACCCATCTAACTGGATGTCTCGAGAAATAGCAGTCAAAGTTAACAATGAATTGCAGCAGTCCCCCCCCCCCCCCCCCCCCCACCCCCCCTCCGCCTCCGTTATTATTGTTATTATTATTCTTGCTTCTTCCAGAGCCGCTCGAAACGTGCTCTCAATTACCAAGGGAGTAGCTTAATTTCCCACTCCCCGGCTCTAATCCGCCAGCCTCCCCGTACAGCAGTTTCATTTGCAGCCGGCTCGGCGCAGGGTTAACCCTTTGGGCAGCGCGGCGGCGGCGGCCCGGAGGCGGCGGGAGAGCGCCGGGCAGCCCCCACCGGCCACGGGTTACTCGGCAGGAGTCAGCGCTCCGCGTGGGAGCCTTTCGGGGTGGGGGGGGCTTTTTGGCTTCCTCTTTTCCCTCTTCGCTCCCGGCGCGGCGTGTGACAACGTGACAGCTCCGTCGGTTCCGACAAAGCCGCCCACCGGCGCAGCGCCGGGACCCGGCGCCGAGGGGTGCCCGGGGACAGCGTGCGGCCGTGCCCCGCCGCCCTCCCCCCGCCCCGCGCCGGGGGAGCGAGCGCTCGTTGCTCGGGCCGGGCCTCGGTGCTTCCGTCAGGAGGAGCTCCGCGGGCGCCCGTACAGCGACTCATGCAGAAAAAGGAGAAAAGTTTTGGTAAGGCTGCTGGTGCGCTGGCTCAGTTCGCAGGAAGGTAGGGCCGGGGCGGGGAGAGGGGCGAGCGCGGTTCCCTCTGCTCTTCTCTCCCGCCAGCGTTCGCGTGTGCAGCGAGGAGACCCCCGTGCCCCCGGCTAGAGAGCCGCGCAGGACCGCCGGTGACAGCGGTGAAGCCGGCCAGGTGCAGCCAACCTCGCTGCGCGCATCCCCACGCCTCCCTCTGCCCCCACCGCCCCATCCCTGCTGATGCTTGGGAAAGGGAATTAGCACAAAAGGCTCGAGCGTCCGGCTCCGAAAGGGAGTCTTTGTTGTAGAGTGTATGTTTCTTATTTATTTTTTTATTTTGCATGTGAGCTGCATCAAAATTGAACTCAGTCTTGCAAATCTCTTGTTGGCCTTTGCCAAGCACTAGCACTTTGCTGCCATGGTAACTGTAATTAAACTGATAAGAGTGGAAAAATGTCAGTATCTCTGAGCCTTGCAGCTGCATTGGAGAAAAAGGGAATCAAATTGGTTCCCAGCACCACTGCTCTAAAAAAGGAGGGAGGGAGTGGGGAGAGCAGGGGGGGGGGGGGACGACACGACAGGGGTAGGAACATAGCTAAGCAGCTCCGTCCCTGAGATCTGGGTACATCTATTTGCTGTGATGTCCCTTAGGGGGCTACAGCCTGCAGGGATGCTCTGGGCCAGTGAACAGAGAGAAACAAGCTTTTAGGCCCAATCTCGCTTTCAAAAAGAGAAGGGGAAAGAAGAGGAGAAATCTTTTGTTTGGTGTCTCTTGGCAATCGACTAGCCGTGTTGGCTAAATTCTTTTAATCTGTATCACTGCTCCCAGCTGTGGGACTGCATAAACATTTTTAGTTTTCACCTAGCCTCCTCTTTTTTTCCCCCCAATCTCAAGCCACCTCCTTCATTAAAAATAAATAAATATATATTTAAAAAATCATATTCCTCTTTAGAAGAAGAGGCGAGAGGTGAAGTTTAGTTATATACCATGAAAAATTGACTCAAAAGTATGCAGAAGTGTCTGTATGCAGAGTACTAAAAAACCCCTTACTTTTATTATTATTATATATATTTTTAAAACCTGGAGTGTTATGGAGTTGCGGTTACTTTGTTGTGTTAACTACAGAAGCTGAGACTGTGCGGATGAATGGCACAGAACAAGAGAGCATAATGGAGGCAATCAACCGTTAGGCTGGTTCACAATGCAATCCAGGCAATTAAAAGCTCACCAGAGTTTAAATGAAATGGTTCTACTTATTTCTGTGCACCACACTGCACAGGCTATTATTTATGTCTCTTTTTTTAATTATGATTTCCCTTAAACTGTCAAATAACTCAGAATAGCGGGGTCTCGGAGGCGATAAGAATTTTCCACAGAACAATTTGCATGCCAATCTAAAACTAGTTACCACTCTTGATGCGCTGCATGCGAGCTCTGAAATGTTTCTTCCCTTCTGAAACCTTAACTTTTTTTTTTTTTTTTTTTTTTTTTTTTTTTAAGTCTGTGCGTATTGTCCTGAATAATTGGAGCACTGAGTGCCTATAGGATGAAGCTACAAAGTGGGAGAGCCTCTGAAAAGCACTCTCTTACTTTTTATTTCTTTTTTATCTTCCGCTGGATCTCCAGCTCTCTTGCTGACTGCACACTGTCCATCAGTCTGCTGTGTTCTAAAGACCACTGCACTGATATGTAATTTGCTCAAAACTGATTTCTTTTTTCTTTTTTCTGTTCTTTTTTTTTTTTTTTTTTTAAGTAGAGCAAGTTTTCCCTCTCTTGCTGTGCAACCCCTTGTCCTTGTTTAAACCGTGTGTGCTGCAGTGAAAGAGGAGTGAGTGGGCTCTAAAAGTTTGTGAGTGCTGTGGTGTGAGATAGCATCCAGTACTGCCCCGGAGCATCCCCTGTGCCATGAACCTCAGCCGTCCTTGCAGCTTCTTGGTGCCTGCACACAGAGGCTGCTAACAGAGCTTGTTCTGTCAGAACTCCACACTCTGATTCCAGGAAAGGTGATCAGAGTGACAGAAGTTCATGTCTCTGCCTTCTGTCAGGAGCCTGACTTAGCCTTTTCCAGCAATCTTTCCTCTTTATTCTGGAATTCATAGCTACAGATCCCTTGTCAGTGTTTCACTGCGCATTAACAACCACTGCCAGGGACAGGAGTCACTTGCATCCAACTTATCTGGAGAGACGGGGGAGATCGAGGAGCTTACAGAATGGGTTAGGAAGTTCTCTCATCGAGAATTTGGATTGCCATTAGAAGTCTTATTCCTGGCAGTTTGAGTGCAGCGTCCTGAGGTTTGGTAAGGGGGAAAGAGAGAGAGGGATGCTGAGCAGGACCGGGAAAGTGAATTGGGCTGAAATAGAAGGGGTTTGCCTGACAGTGACGGGCACTGAAATGTCTCTGTACTAATTGCAGATCTGCTCTGGGATGCAGAGTGTGGACAGGAGTCCACCAAACTAAAGGGAAAACCGGGTTCAGTTTTTGCAGCCTGGGTGTAGCACTTTGGAGCCGTCCGTGTTTTGGGAGCTCTGCCTTCCTAGAGAGGGGGCAGCAGGGTGGCCAGGCAGCACGGTGTGCTCCTGGTATCACCTCAGGCTGCCCTGGGTGCTGTCAGCCTCAGAGCTCCTGTCTGTACCTGGGGATGGCCAGGTTGTGGGGCTGCAGCCTGTGGGAGCTGCAGATACGCTGACTGGTGCTCAGGGCAGCTATAAGCACACATGTTATTGGGAAGTGGCACTGTACTGGAGGTGGTCCGGGAGGTGATCTGCATTAGTCTGTATTACGCCTCACAGGAGAAGTAATCAAGTATTCTGTTCTCAAAATTAAGTGTTTTAATCCAAGTCTGTGAATAAAAGGGCATGTGCAGAGAATTCCGAGCTGCTTAAAGCACTTCTTGGGGCACTGCTTGTGTTCTGTGTTTTGTTTTGATTCCAAAAATAAACTTTTTTTTTTTTTAATAATGAAGCTGTAGTTTAGTTTTAATTTTCATTAAAATAGAAGCAGCTTCGTTGTAAGTAAAGTGTGACAAAGATCAAATCTGTCTAAAAGGAAAAGCATGCCTTCCCTCCTATAGCTGCTGCAGACCAAATCCCAAATCCTTAATCTGGAGATGCTGCCAGCAGGATGTCAGGGCCACCTTCTCCTCGCCTCAAGCTCAGAAGTGTGGGGCTGTTAGCATGACCTCCGAGGGATGTCTGCCCCTTCCCACTTCTCTCTGTAAAGGAGGGTTTGGGCTAACCAGAGTGACAGCGCTCTGTCTGCTTTCCGAATGTAGCAAGAGCCTCAAAACAGTGCCAGACTGTGTGCCACACAGCGCGTGCTGGGCTTGTATTTATAACACAATAATCTGGTGTTTGCAGCATTTTCCTTAAGAATTACCATGCTTGATTGCTGCAGCATGCTCAGATGCTGGCTTATTCAAGCCCTGTTGTTGTTTCATCTTGTTCCCCTTGTGCAGCGCAGGGCAGCCCATCAGCTGGGATCAGGGACGTGGTGTTCCTTATCAGCTGACAAAATTTTTACATCACGATTTTTTTCTTTAAAGCCCTTAACTGCATTAGCTGCTAGTTTATCCTGGCTTCCCTCAAGCTAAAGATTAAAGTCCCAGAGCAGTCCTCCTCTCTTCTGAACTTTTTCACTGAGTTCCACAAAGTTGCCAACTGCGGTTTGTTTCGCGTGCCTGTCCTCTGTGTGGTGGTAGAGGGGGTCAGGAGTAAGTGTGCTCTAAAGGGGTATTTATATATATGCAACTTCACAGATTAAGCCTTTTCACCAAGCAGATATATTGGCGATCCTATAAGACTGCTCTGTACTGTTAGTCTGCTACAGGCGCTTTACAAAAGTCTCCGCTGTTTTCACTGTTCTTAGTCGTTTCCTTGTAGTTGTGTTACATTGCTGCTTCACTCCTGCACCCTGGGCTTAGGGGAGCTCTCTGGCAGCTGGATATGCTGCGGTGCTCACTCAGGATGAGCGCTGTGTGTTCTTTCCCAGCCCTGCCCAGCCACAGAGCCTGTGCAGGTCACAGGCTCTCATCTTCCCATTTGGGAATGAGAAACAGACCTCACGAGTTGCTGAGCGGTGTAGGAGCATTGATTGGAGGGTAATGGGAAGGCGGCAATGCCATTTTGATACTTACGGATAGTAAAATGAAGACCTTGAATTATCTTGCTAGGAGGTACAGACATTCGGCAGCAGTATTGCCACGGTACTTCGAGGTGCTCGCTAGGAGAACTGGCTCTGTAATTGAACAGCTAATTTATCAGACAAATATATTCATTCAAAATGCGTGGTAGAGTGTGTTGCAAAGCTGGGAGCGGGGATGTTATATGTATGAATTACTATAGTAATAGAAAGAATTACTATTTCTAATTTGTTGACTAGCTTCACAGGTGAAAGTCATGAGTTCAACTTGATAAACCCTGCAAAGTCACATAGCTGGCTCTACACTTGCTGCGGTCCACGTACATTCAATGCGTTTCACGTACACGTATGGATCCCTGGGATGCCTCAGCTGGCACAGCATTTAGCCTCTTGTCTTCACAGTGCTGATATTCATAAAGGCACGCTGTACCATCACTTCAAAGATTACACTCATTTTCATGTTTTCCTTACGAGACCTTTAAAAATAGGTAAAATAAAACATCAGCCGGTTCGTGTTCTCTCTAACTGAGAATGCCTTTCTGAGGAAGTGTGCTGCGGCACTGACGGAGATGCGCTGATAGAAGCTGGGGCTGCAAAGCGTTCCTAAGAGCAGTAGTGTAGTGTTCTTGATGAGGAGCTCTTGAATTTGCTGTTCTTTGTTACGAGACTATTTGACCTTTCCCAGTCTCTGAGTTAAGAATGGGGTGCCGTGCCCTGAACTTGGGAGAAGGATTCTTTCAGCAAAAGCATTTATTCTTGTCTTACAAAATTCTCGTTGTGATGCTCAGATGCACTCTAATGAGTAGCAATTTTTTTTTTTTTTCAGTTGCATCTCCGATTGGCTTAAAACAGTGAGATAACCTAGTAATCGAACTGTGTGTCTGTTTTCTTTCCTCTCTGATGCTTGTTTGATGTACAGCAAAGCATCTACAAGGCTATGATTTTGCTTCTTCTAAGAAATGACTTTCAGAGGATCAGTGTGAGTGTAATCGGCTGGCAGTTCATGAGACCAGCCAAGAGAGACCAGTCTGTAAGCACTTTGGGGCAGTGACCTCCTCTCCCCATTTACAGCAAAACTGAGGGCCATCGATTTTTTTGTATGGATCTCTGGAAGGCAGCTGTGGTGCTCCACATGCCATTGCTCAACTGTATTCCACTTTTGCCCATTCTGTCCCTTAAACAGGGGTTCAAGGGTTTGAACTGTTATTTCTGCTCTCTGCTATTGCATTCAAAGGTATACATAATTAATGGATACCACTAGACTCCTTTTCCCAAACTGTCTGTTTGGCTAAAATTGGGATTAGAGAATGGGGCAGAGATTTTGTATCCTTATTATTATTTTTTGTGAAAAACTAGTAACTGTCTGACCTTGTGCAGCTTATTTAAGGTCAGATTTTTCAGCAGGTCCTTAGACTGAAGGATGCAATGAGAGATGCTGGTACTGAAGTCTCTATAAATCTGATTGCTTCATTCATGTGCCTAAGAACAGAAATCTTAAAAAGCAAAACTCCTACTGCAAAAATATATGGGCCAAACCTCCCTGTAACTCTGCTCCCGTACCTTTGATAGCTTCAGTCTTTCCATCTCTAGAATCTAGAGTGTTCATATGTATTATAGATAGTGCAAATTAGTCCAGACACACAACTTCAGGTATATTTGCTATTGCACATAGGCTATTTGATTACATTTTTGAATGCTAAACATTGAGAATGTTGGGCAAAAGTGACTCTTTAACAGGACTGTTTTAATTTTTCACTTTAATTTTTCAATCATATTCCTTTTCAGCAAAGAGACCGGGTAAATGAGGTGGAACTCAGATCAGTGGAAGTTTCTGCTCTCAAGTTTATTTAATATTGTTTTCAGCTTGCTGTGGACTTGCCAGATTATGTCATCCTGTCTCTGCAGTTGCCTTTATAATGGACTGGGTGTGTGTGGGAGGGGAGAGGTGGAGGAAGAGAAGGCTGTGAGGCTCATTCTGGAGAGTGTCTGTTTTCACCCTTCTCTCTTCTTGCTGTGTTTCAGGTATACAAATGCTCTCAGTCCAGCCAGACACCAAGCCGAAAGGTTGTGCTGGCTGCAACCGTAAGATTAAAGACCGGTATCTTCTAAAGGCCCTGGACAAATATTGGCATGAAGACTGCTTGAAATGTGCCTGCTGTGACTGCCGCCTGGGGGAGGTGGGCTCCACTCTGTACACCAAAGCCAACCTTATCCTTTGTCGCAGAGACTACCTGAGGTAGGTCGCACCTGTGTCGTGTTCCTTGAGAAACGCAGTGAGCCTGCTCAGTCCTTCCTGTGTAGGTAGTGGTGCGTATGCAGTGCTTGGAAGCTGCAGGACAAAGCATTTGTGGAGCATGAGGCAACCAGCTGCAGCAGAGAGGTGAAACTAAATTCAAAGGTAGTATCGCATGCTCTTGATTTTTGTGATGCTTATGGTGAGGTGCTGCGCTGGGAGGGAGGTGAGAACAGAGTAACCCCTGGCTCAGCAAAGTGCTCCTGGAGAGCTGATCCTCCTAAAAGCAATGCAATGTTCAGCCTGAAAGAGCAGGGCCACCTGAGTGGCCTGCAGCTGCTCGAGTGTGGGTTGCAATGCTGTGAGCGCTTGCTCCATTTGGCTGTGCGTATCGGCTTCTGCCTTTTGAGTTCACCAGAGGGATTGTGGTGGTGGTCGGAGCTTTAAGGAACGTTGCCATTTATCTGCTAGAAGCTGCACTGAGACAATCCACTCACCTTCCCTGTGCTAAATAACCCCATAGCCAATGGGCTCCAACCAGCCCACTGACCCGTGTGGGACCTGGGTGACCCAGCACTGCTTTTCAAAGGTGGCAGACCATCCTCTGGGTGATGCTTCTTGAATATGGCAAACCATCAACTGATTCTCTGCTTTCTTGTTTGCTTGTCAATCTTCTCAAAAACAATTGGAGTATAAATCGGCACAGTACCAGACTAGAGCGTGCATGTACAAATAGAGCTACTTGCAGAAGCTGAGGTTAATCGAGAAGTTTGGTCTCTCTGGGCTGTCAATAGTAAATAGAAAGAGAGAGGCTCCTCTGGGGTGATTCAGAGCACCTATTTCATAGAGGAGCACCTTCTGCCGTTCCCTGCAGAGGGGGTCTAGTGAGACTGGCTGCCCGAGGCAGGTGTGAACTTCTGGGAATATTTCCCCTGCTCCTGTAGCAAAGTCTTTTCCTTTTAAAGGGACATTCAAGTCTGTAATACATTGGGGAAAAATTAAAATTCTCTTTACGTGTGTTAACTTAAAAGTTCAGTGTAGGCACAGGTAGCAAATACGAAGTTTCCAGGTTGTATGGCATGAGTGGGTTGGTACAGAAATCAGGATTAATGTGTTAACAGGTCTTGGTACTCTTGCTCTCCGCATTACAACCTGTTTTTTCTAGAGTAGAGCAAAATTGTTTGCAAGTGTCTTAGGCGTTTGCTGAGCTGGAGCTGCAAAGCAGCTTAGTGTTCTTCAGACAGGGCCACTTGGATCTCTTAGTGGTAAAAGTGCTCTGCTACCCATTAAAGCTCCATGAGCTGAGCACAAGACGGAGTCTGCATCTTAAAGGCATTGTGTTAAAGCTGCCCAAAAAGTAGCTAAGAAAACCTTACTTTTAAAAATGAAGAGGAAACTGTTTCATGCAAGAAATAGAAGGGGATCATTGTATAGAAACCTAGGTTGCTTGTGATCTTAAATTGTGTTATAGAGAGAGTGGTATGAACAGCTTCTGGGGGCAAATTGGTGCTGAGCCTAATATTTAAAACCTGTTTTAAGAATCTTTCTACAAGTGCCTGCAGGAGTAAGAAAACTCTACTGTGGCAATTTGATCCCCAGATTTACTGGTGGCTTTGAACTTAGTCTCCCAAAGACTCACGCAACAGATCGAATGTTTTAAAATCAAAACCAAAAGTGATTGAGTAGTAGGGATATGAACAAAACATTTCCACATTACACACGTGTGCATGCATCTCATTGCTCTCTGGTATTTAAAGGTCTATCAGGAATAAATATTTAGCAATCAGAATGTTAAAATTCATACTATGTGACTCAGAGAAAGGTGACTGTGATTTTTACACCGTGGTTTATCTGTCACAAATGCTTTCAAAACTGATTTTTTTGTTATTTATTCATCTGCAATATTCACGTTTGCACCAGTGAAACCAGCATACATGGCAGATCCTGTAGTCAGTCTAAAGATGTTTTGGATTTTGTTTCTGGATTTATCCATAAGTCTTTGTGAAGTCTTAATGAAAGTCATAAGCCTTTCCTTAGTGATTCTTGTGAATGCACGGATTTAAACTTGGTATTTACTCTAAATTTCATACTGATGCACTTAAGGTAATTGCAGATAGTTTGCCTCATTGCGTCTTGTATGCTTGGTTATGCAGTGAACCTATAAAAGTGATCTTTTTAATGTTAATGTAGAAACTAGTTAAATGTTCTCTAGCTTTGTAGTCAAATAAGCTTTCATACTTAGCAACTCACTTGATATCAATTTAAAGAAAAAATTACTTAGCAATAATGATCAGATTAGGGTTCGATTGCATTTTCAAGCTAGCCTCTTTTTTGTTGTTGTTGTTGTTCTTTTTAACTTAAAGGAAGTGTTTGCTACATACAAAACTATTCCAGCTTCCTATTAATTTATGTGGTGCCCTCTAGAGGATATGTGGCTTGTATGATATTATAAAGAGTAAAATTGCTTATTAACTTCTCTCTCTGTGTTCATTATGTATTTCAGTAAGACAGCCATTCTACAGATACTATAGGCAATAATGTAGCCAATTTGTGTGCTTTGACATCCATGGTTAATTCAGAAACTATGTGATTGTGTCTTTGGCTATTTGCAAAAATGCTTCTAATATCTCTCACTTAGAAATGCCTGCCAAAAAATATTAAAGATTCTCTCCACTGTAATGCATGCTTTTGTTTGGCATTTGAGCCATGAGATACCTACTCTGAGTCTTTTATAAGTACTCTCTATCGCCAAGACTTCAAATCTTGCTTTGTTTTAGCTCTCCCTTTTGTTAAAATACGTTAATTTTACTATATTAAGACCTTACTCTCTAGGATAGAGGGGGTCATGGAGATGGAGGTAATGAGCTTGGAAGATGTTCTGGGTGTGAGAGGCTTTCCCCTGCAATCTGATTCAACTAAGTCACTCCAGTGATTTCAGAGGTGGCATGTGGCACCCAGGGTATTGGAGTGGTCACAGCAGGAATGAGCTCTGTTTTGTTAACGAAGATGAGAACTGACTTGAGTAAAGAATGGGCTCAATGTTAGGAATAACATACATGGTGAAAATGATATGCAGAGTACAATTCCCCTGCAGGCTTCTGTCTCCTGCTTATACACTCCTGGGTTAGAAAGTGAAGACTTAATTTAAGGAACTTAAGTTTATGCCAGTATTTCAAGTCCATTTACAGTAAGTGAAATATGCGAGAAGTTGGCTTTCCCCCCCCCCCTTCCTCCGGAGCTGTGCAGTGACATCTTAATGTATCAACCTATCCTGCTCAGTCCTCTGTTCTGACTGGCAGCATGTCCATTTACAAGCAAAATATTCCCTTTGAAATCTGTCATTACTGCCATTAATGACCAGTCGTTATGTTAACAGCCCCTGGGCTGTTAACATATCAAACTGGTTGTTAACTGGAAGGTTATTACTTATTTAAACCGCAGGTATGGTTTGTGTGAAATGTGCTTTGGTTATGCATTCTGGGCTAGTTCTGCTCAAAACAATGGGAAAAAAACAGCATAGCATTTGCCTTTGGGGTGCCAGGGGATTTGCTTTCTGTTCCATCTGCTCATTTGATTTCTGCATATTTGTGAGGTCCTCCTGCCCCTGGGCAGCCTCCTAATTTCAGGTGCAACCGTGTGCAGTCCCATCTTTTTAGCTTTGCGTGCAAATGGGCAGTCACAGATACTTCCAGATGCACAGTAATGCAAGCCGCGCATCTGAGATTAATATCTGGCCCCTAAAAGTGTGAAATGAAAGACCGACAATTACACGTAACTCAGTTGTATTAAATAATGAGCTTCCTCGGATGCAGCGAAAATATGAAAGTACAGCTGTGCTAAGCTAGTAGCAATGTAGGTCAATCACCCTTTTCACTTAGGTTTTTAACTACGCAAACCCTGCTGAGCGACCAATGACTACAAAGTGCTGTTTCATTCCTATTTAATTTTGGCAGCATTTTACTGAAGAGCAGGCATTCATGCAGCTAAATTATCTTCACCGTTTCTGGTTTTAACTCCAGCTCCATGACACTAAATGTTGGAGTGCATATCTCTTAGTAAACACAAAGAATATGGTTTCTGATTTTTTTTCTCTTTTTTTTTTTTTTTTCAAATCCATCACTTAACATGGAAATTGAATTAGAACTTTTATTTCTTTATGCATAATTTCCCTAGCCAGGCAAACAGATCATAAGAAAAGGATTAACAAAACGGTGTGTTGGGGAGAATTTTTACCCTTAAACACATTTAGAGACTTTCCGAGGATGGCACAGCAGTGTGCCCCCCGCACTGCCCAAGCTTGGTATCTGTTTGGCTTGTAAATGTACTACAGGCTTTAGAAGAACCACAGAATAGCTCTGAAGAGGGGTTGACTGCTATCCCTGAGGAAAGGGACAAATCATGTTTTTTCTTGTTTTCTCTCCTATTTGCTGATCTGAGCACTTGAGACAAACCTAGATTTTAGATTATATATTGGACAGGATCCTGTAAATAATGAGAAGTGACTACAGAGAGTAAAGTGCTCAACCACAAGCATCATAAAGATGCTGCCTCTGTAAAATATTTAGTCTGTGAAAGGGTACAGACTGAAAAGAATAGAGTTTAGGAAGCAGCCTTTTCCTGCAAAACTGCTCTCACTCTAAAAGCAATTATTGTTTAAATATGTATATATTACGTAGTAGTACTTAGAAATTCAAGGAAGACTTAAAATGTCCTATCATCTAGTATTGTTTAGCAGTTCCTGTTTCTCTTATGTCACAAAAAGCACGCGTTAAATATTGCAAACATATGAAGTATTGGCTCTCATAAATGCTTGTACTAATACTCTACATGGATATTTTCATGGATAAAAGGATGTCAGATGTTTTTAAACTGACACCTCAGTATGCTTCTTGCCCAGTTTAATAAAATAATGATAAAATTTTAAGGATTTAAACACTCTTTGAGTTTTCAAGAATACTGAGGCAATTACAAAAGCAATGTTTAAGAGAGCTCTACTTTCTTTA